TATTGTAATTCTTGTTCACAGCACCAAGGACCAGATAACCAAAACAACAAAAAGATTATATTTCGTAGGGGAAACTGTCATATTTTGTATTATCTTACATAGCTAAAGACTAATTAAAGTTGAGGTATACATAAGTGGTAACATATGCATAAAGACGAAGTAAGTGAGGTATACAAAGGGTGGCTTATAGACGAATTTTTGGGTCATTCCAATTTCACAGCCTTTGTGCTCATTACATTAGGCCCTTTTCCTCGTCGAGAAAATCAGTGTAGATCTCTCTACCACTGATACCCTGGTTCAATCAAATATAGCGCCATGGAAATCCACCAATCTTAGCATCATGGAAGCCTGGCTTCCATAAGCTAAGGCCATAGCGCCGGAGATGGTCAGAGGTTCAGAGAGATCCTTATACATCTTTTTCTGCCGAATCAGGCATCGATCTTTCTTGCTGAACTTTTTGCTGTTGATAAATCTATAAATGTTGCATTCTCGACGACCCATGATAGAACGGTATTTATTTAGATCCATTAAGTTAACTTGAAGTCATCAAATCATTAGGAGCCACTAAAAAAGAACTACTGGGTAATATCACTTGTAAACTACATAGTGTCAATAAATCAATGATGTTAATATGGATGCCAGGTCACTCTGGTATCCATGGCAATGAGCAGGCTGACAAATTAGACAGGTCAACTGGTGATCTGGACCTTAGCATAGTCTATACGAATCTCAGGAGTTTTGTTTCCTTTATAAAAGCAAAAATACATCTGTGGCAAAGTGAGTGGCAAAGAGAAATGTGGGACACAGCATTCAGGAATAGTAGAAGAGAGTTGGTGTTGGCCCGACTCAGGGTCAGCGCTACACGACTTACCCATCTCACTCTTTATATTGAAGAAGTTTTCTTCCACAGTACCCCCATTGCACTATACCCATCAATTAAACACCTTATAATAATCTGCCATAGATGCAGTAACAACAGACAACAATTTAAAAAACTATTACAAAATCTCGAGTTCATTCGATCGAATCGTTTATCAGATGAAAAATCACCAGTAAAGTACTCTTCTAAAGGAGACAAAACTTTATGACCTTATGTAGATTTAAACAATGAATAGGCCCCAGTGGCTTAATAACCTTGGCCACACGACACTGGTTGATTGCCTAGACATCCAAGTAAACAAATATATATATTATAGACATTATTATGAACATTACGTTTTCCTGTCGGTATTGGGATAGGAAAAAGACCAATTTTGCCTGAATTACTTTTTCTATTAAGATTCACTTATTCCTGTATTTACATATATCAATTAGTTTTGATTATAGATCTAGCCAACATGTCATGAAGGCCAACTGTGCAAATAAATAAAATAAAAGTGGCCCTTTATGCCATGAGGGGCGAACGTGACTTTTTTTTGTTGTTTGTTTGTTTGTTTGTTTGTTTGTTTTTTCAGTAGTCATTGTCTGAGACGAACTCGCGGCCGCAGCTCCCAGCTGTATGATCAAACCTGATACATCCAGTACTATGATCTATAGCAACTTTGTCCAGTATAATCGCTATATTGGACAAACCATCTTGCCTTACATCTAGACAAACCTTTTAGCTGATTATCATTATAGGTCTCACTTGGGGTCAAGAATGTTACGTAATCTCACTGAGTGGCCAGAAACGTGATAAGACTGCACCGAGGCGATTTTTTTGCTTACCAATTGTCCTGTTCCTTGACATCATCTGAGGATCGACATTCGGACCGACCTGCCGATATCCGATTCATTGGATTTGAGCCATTCATACTTCCGAGCAAAAGGGCTTTCTAGAGTTTTGTGCCTGACTTCTCCTCAATCTGTTGTTAATTTTTGCGATCTTCGTTTCACACATATGGATAACACCATACAAGAAATAGTTCTGTTAATCGTAGAACGTTCTCTGTGATCCTAGGAAGGTAGTAGCAGTAGAATTCTCGAAAGGGGTTCTATTTTATTTTGGCTTCTTTTAATCATTTTCACACATTATAAGTTTTAAGTTGTGCCACATCGCTTGCACTTTATATTGTTTTGAACCCTTTAAACTACTCGAGTATATTTACATGAATATTTATAATTCGTAAGATAAATACATTAAACTTTAATGAAGCCTTTTACTAATTAGAAATAATTTTCTTGAGTTTGAGCTCTAAGATTCTGTTAAAGGCTATTGGTATCTGCCGTTTTTTTGCGTTTGGTTTTGCCGACTATGTATTACTAGTTTGATGGCTGGTGAGTGCACTGCCAGGCAACAAGGGCGTCAATTGGATGGGGCTGAGGGGGCAGTTGTCCTCCCCCGAGACTCTGGTTGCCCCCCTCAAGGACTGGACCCCCCCCCCACGAAGGGCCACAGCTTTTCACTTTTTTAACTAAATTACACTTAAGTCTGGTTATAGCCGAAAAATGCTCCTAGAATACCTCTTTTTTGTTCACCTCACTCCCCCAAGAAAAAAACTAAAATAGCGCCCCAGCCAGCGTGCAAGTAACAGAAAAACGCATTTCACATAGTACGTGTATTTATAATAACATAAAGAGCACGTCATGACAGAAGAGTCTTCTCTTGTATATATATATATATATATATATATATATATATATATATATATATATATATATATATATATGTATATGTATATATATATATATATATATATATATATATATATATATATATATATATATATATATATGTATATATATATATATATATATATATATATATATATGTATATATATATATATATATACATATATATATATATATATATATATATATATATATGTATGTATGTGTGTGTGTGTGTGTGTGTGTGTGTGTGTGTGTGTGTGTGTGTGTGTGTGTGTGTGTGCGTGCAGAGGAGGGGGGGGTGAATCCAATCAAAGGGAGAAAGGACTGATATCTGAATTTATGTTTAAATCAAATAGTGTTTATTTCACATTTCATCTGTGTTTACATATTCAAAATATCTCCCTTTCTCATATTTCTCAGTATTAGGCCTTACGCTTGAGTCTTTGGTGCGTACAATCATGGCTCCGGGCATGACCAGGCCTCTGCTCGCCACTGTATATATATATATACAAAGGCAGTATCGCGATGTATCGGTACCGCCTCAGTAACTGTTGTTTTTATCAGTATCGCTAAGGTGTTTTTTTTCTCTCTCTCTCTCCAAATGTACCGAAAAACTCATTTACATGACGAATTTGGAAATAATATTATAATTTAGTAATTGCAAAATTACCCGTGTTTCTTTATTTCAGTTCTTATATGTGATTATTATTTATTCTTTCGACTTTTCCTGTACTGCAGAAAATAAATTAACTTTTTTTCATCCAAAAGCCATGCGTAACTTATTACTAGGAAAGGCGAATACATTATCCTTTTTAGAATGAATCACAGAAAACCAGAATATAACGAAAGATTAATGTTTTCAAAATCATAGATTGTCATAATTTTGAATTTCACATTTGAATTTCTTTTTCATTATGCGCAATACAACGTAAGATTGTTCACATCCAATCTGAATACATAGATTATCCGCTGTTTGTTTTGAAATCCTAAGAAACGAGTTCATTTATGTAATGTAGTCTTATCTGAACTAACAAATTGCAGGATGAAGGTGTTGATAGAAAGTCTACATATTGTGTAGAATTAACAGTCATCAATTGGCAAATTACGAAATACGGTTCTTTCATTCCGAGCCTAAATATATTACCGAAGATATATTTTTTAATATTTAGGAAAGATATGTATCTACCATAAAATATCTAATATACATCGAAAAAATAATTGATAATATATAATTGGTGTATTTTCTTGCTTTTTTCATATTTTTTTTCCTAAAGGCATTTCATCTGTACATATAATTGCATCTCAGTCTCTTTTTATTTCCCTTTCCCATTCTTTCTCTTACATTTTCTCTCTCTCTCTCTCTCTCTCTCTCTCTCTCTCTCTCTCTCTCTCTCTCTCTCTCTCTCTCTCTCTCTCTCTCTCTCTCCTCTCTCTCCTCTCTCTCCTCTCTCTCCTCTATCTCCTCTCTCTCCTCTCTCTCCCTCTCTCTCCCTCTCTCTCCCTCTCTCTCCCTCTCTCTCCCTCTCTCTCCCTCTCTCTCCCTCTTCCTCCTCCTCTTCCTCTTCCTATTCCTCCCCCCCCACAAATACATTATATATATATATATATATATATATATATATATATATATATATATATATATATATATATATATATATATATATATATATATGTATATATATATATATATATATATATATATATATATATATATATATATATATATATATATATATATATATATATATATATATGTATATATATACATATATAATATGTATATATATATATAATATATATGTATATATATATATATATATATATATATATATATATATATATATATATATATATATATATATATATATATATATATATATATGAATGGTTAAACACTCTACTCTAATGTATCAATTCATTAATTCATTAACTGTAATTTATACTTCCATGCAACATAAGAACTAAACCATTTGGCCAGGGAAACATTTATTCCTTGATGTCAGAATGGCAAAAATGCACAAAATGTCTATAGTGTGTTTTAGATTATTGATTGCCATAATCTTTTTATTGTTATTAGTATTGTTTACAATATTATAATAAGCATAATGTCAATAATGATAATAATAACAAAAGTGATATCAAAAAACATTTTTTTTCGAATACTCAAGGAGAACTCACGAGAGGTCAAGTAGGCCTGCTTATTGGTCCTTTGGTGGCTAAGCACTTGAGGAGCCTTCTCGGTGCAAACAAAATTCACCAAAGAAAATGACAGTTCACAATGTTATCACCCTCTAAGCAATAGGTTAAAACAGGTACAACTGTATATTTCCCAAAGTAGAGGAAGAAACAAAAAATATCCTTCCCTCTTACTTTTTGCTTCATACTATTATATAGGAAAAGGAAAATCTTTATTCATATCAAGTAACATTTAATATCACAGATGAAAAACAGGAACAGTTTACAGCACATAAAAAATATTCATATCTCCTTTATATATTCCATACAATTACTACATTTTAGCATTAAAATTCTATTTTTTTAATACATTCTAAGGAATTTATACAAATTAACAAAAATACAAACCTTCAGATCATAATACACAAAAAAGGATATTACTGTGAAAGTAATACCCTCACTTAATGCCACATTTATACAGAAAACAAAGTAATGATATAATAAATGAACACATAACTTATTAACAACCTAACAGAGAATATTAACATACCACAACAATTTCTAAAATCCTAAAAGAAATTATAATATTCACAAATGTATTCTTCATGTCTTGCATCAGATATTTGGAAAGCAATATAGAAACAATCATAAAAACACAAGAGTATGTACAAACCACCAGTCAGTCAGCAATATCAGCAGCACCTTAGTTACTCTGACATTTTCCTATGCCATCATCACTTAAAGAAGTAATTCATCTCCTGCTAATAACACTTAGTCCCTCTGCAATAATTTTTTAAAAACAGTATCACTTGCTTCTGACATGTAGTTAAAGCTGTGATCTAGGCCCTTTGATATGCTCTTCTGCCATCTGCGTTACCAACTAGAATGTTCACCTGCAGCACCAGATATCTCTTGAGAAATCATTAAAAGACTCTATGTGTCCTTACATAGTTTCTATGCCTGTCCCTCCATGATCTAATGTTTTTTTTCACAATATGTGAACATGAACACAATGTATTTCCTTAAAAAAAAAGAACAATACTTTATATTTATAATCCAAATCCAGAATTATCATATTGGTACACTATGCTAGCAGATGCAAAATCAATTTTCAAAAATTTCATAATCAATTTTGTTTCATAATCAGCGCAACAATACTCTCAGAGGTTATAAAATCTGAACGATAAAAGGAAAAGAATATACATGCAGCAAATTTCAAAAGAATATAAAGCTTTTCTCTCCAAGATCATATATTTGTTGGCTATAAGTGCTATGTACCTCTCATCAGTTTCCTTAGCTGTATCAAGAAAACTTTCAATTTAGAACTTAATTAGACATAAATGATTGTTTTCAAATTACTTATCAGCATTTTGTTGAGGAAAACAAATAAATAAAGGAGGGACCATATTAATTCATGAAGTATGTTTAATTTCCTTACCTGTTACTTTTCTTCTAGAAAAATATATTATATTAATTACTGCCAGAAAACCCACACTGAAGAGGACTTTGCCACAGCTTCCCATCAACCTTATGTGTTGGGCCACATCTATGTTTGGCAATGATGATGCTATCATCATTTAAAGAGGTGATCCATTTCCTTAATGCAATCACAGCCGCATCCAGTCGGACACTCGTTGTGGTCACGAAACCATTCAAGAATGTGGTATGCATGCCCACCATGGCCACACACCACACAGAAGTTGCTTGCCCCTGTGGATCAATGAGAGCATTTGAATTGTTGTGGATGTGGTGGTAACAGTTACTGATATTCACTGATATGATGATCATCAACATTTACATGATAAAGGTTATAAAATTATCATCTGTGGTCCACAACTCTACGTAAACAGAATTAATTTAGAATCATGTTAGAGGTAAATGTATATACTACCAAAAATAGTGGGAAAAAAAGGAAAAAACTCACTAAGCAAAAACATTTTATAATCCCACTCAAAAATAACCAATTGCAGGGTAAAAACCTTTCAACATGGACAATGTAGGACCCTCCTACCCACCTTTGACTGCAACGTGGCAAATTGAACAGCTGAAGGAAAAGCAGCGGCAGTATCTGCACTGAGGTCCCTTGGCCGACTGACCACAATGGACACAGTCAGTAGGAAACTCAACACCCTTGTGAGCTGGTGGTTGGGCTTGTAAATACTTCAGAACCTACAAGAGGAACACAGTTACAACTGACATGGGGAAAATTTGTAACAAATACTGCCCATCTACCTGAGGGTGGTGGTGGCAGTGGTGGTAACAATACTGCTGATGATGATGACAATGATAGAGACAAAAATATATTAACCTTTAAAATCATATTCATATAAACAAATCATCTAACCAAAAATGCTCAGAAAACATTGGAATTATGATTAATAGAAAAATAGTAAAATAAATCAAAATCTATGCCATAGTCCTGTTCTTTTTTTTTTTAACAAACTCTAAAAATGCTCATTGCACCAGCACACTCACCATTGCCCGTTGCTTGAGGAGGCCCCAGCGGTAAAGGATGTCTGCATAGGCCCTGCGCAGTTCATCATACTGCTGGCTCCGGCTGCAGTCAAGAAACCTGGCAGTGAAAACAAAGGGGTATATCTTGCATACAAAAAATAATGTGAAGAAAATGTTGATCTCCCTATATCTATATACTGCTCTAAACTTTGTTCTGTTACTCGTTATTACATGACGACAGAGATATGGCACATTGTGGTAAACCAGAGTTCCCATTTTTTAACAATGTAAAATACAGCTGATACCAGACTGGTCCTGAGTGTCCAAAGTGATATCTCCTCATAAGCTTGAATGCCAGCTTGGAGAGGTTGTTTGTCTAGGGTGACTTTTTTGTATCTTTATGAATGCTACCTTGTTTCTTAGGAATACTGAGCGAGGAAAACCCTCTAATATCCTTTTATTGGGGACATGTAATCATTAAGTGTTAAATCATTATAAATCTTTATGTCACTCTTACTCTATAATCAAACTCTATCATCATCACTCCTACTCTACCTCTCGCCATTACTATATCATTTTATTACACAGCTCTATTTATTTACTACACTTGACTATTATCCAGCTCTGCTATCTTCTTATTCACTTTATGCTTTTATACTACAATGCTCTTGCTCTTGCATTTTCCCAGGCTTTTGGAGTTTTTCGATTGAGATGGTATTTGTTAAAAAGATTGGCTAGTTTCACTGTTGCAATTTCTCCTGCATTCATTATAAAGTTTATACTAATTCCATCTTCACCTAGTGTTTTCCCTATCTTCATGCCTATAAGCGCTCTTTTTATTTCTTCTGTTGTGATATTATGTATGTCTCTAGTTACCACATTTGCTTCTATGTGTGGCTGTTCATTTGAGTTATATAGATCCCTCTAAAAGTCTTCCACTACTCTATTATTTAAGTATTGAATTTCCATACATCTTCCCTCTCTTGCTCTCACTCATTTCTATGTTACTCTCACTCAATAATTCAACTTTACTGCCCTCATTTTTTCTCGCTCTGATAAATCTGACTTTCATGCACTTTCCCTCAATCCTACTTGCTCCTTCTCAATCCCTTTCATTCTCACTTTCATCCCTTCCTCATCTTTTTCCCACATCCCACTCCCTCCTTCTCCATCCCACTCCCTCTCTTATAACTACCTATTCACTTATATATTTCCTACTCCCCACTCACTTCTTCTCCATCCCACTCCCTCCTTCTCCATCCCACTCCCTCTCTTATAACAACTTATTCACTTACATATTTCCTACTCCCCACTCACTTCTTCTCCATCCCACTCCCTCTCTTATAACAACTTATTCACTTACATATTTCCTACTCCCCACTCACTTCTTCTCCATCCCACTCCCTCCTTCTCCATCCCACTCCCTCCTTCTCCATCCCACTCCCTCTCTTATAACAACTTATTCACTTACATATTTCCTACTCCCCACTCACTTCTTCTCCATCCCACTCCCTCTCTTATAACAACTTATTCACTTACATATTTCCTACTCCCCACTCACTTCTTCTCCATCCCACTCCCTCTCTTATAACAACTTATTCACTTACATATTTCCTACTCCCCACTCACTTCTTCTCCATCCCACTCCCTCTCTTATAACAACTTATTCACTTACATATTTCCTACTCCCCACTCACTTCTTCTCCATCCCACTCCCTCCTTCTCCATCCCACTCCCCACCCAAACCTCTCTGCCTCCCTTCCTCCCTCCTACATCACTCACTTCTCCTTCCCTCTTTCCCCCATCTGCTTCTACCTCCCCATTCTTCACACTTCCCTCCTGCCTGCCCTCTTCTCTCTAATCCCTCTCCCACACCCACCCACATTACTCACTTGGTTGAGTTCCTGTGCAGAGTGTCTGTGGCCTACTTATTCACTTACATATTTCCTACTCCCCACTCACTTCTTCTCCATCCCACTCCCTCTCTTATAACAACTTATTCACTTACATATTTCCTACTCCCCACTCACTTCTTCTCCATCCCACTCCCTCTCTTATAACAACTTATTCACTTACATATTTCCTACTCCCCACTCACTTCTTCTCCATCCCACTCCCTCTCTTATAACAACTTATTCACTTACATATTTCCTACTCCCCACTCACTTCTTCTCCATCCCACTCCCTCTCTTATAACAACTTATTCACTTACATATTTCCTACTCCCCACTCACTTCTTCTCCATCCCACTCCCTCTCTTATAACAACTTATTCACTTACATATTTCCTACTCCCCACTCACTTCTTCTCCATCCCACTCCCTCTCTTATAACAACTTATTCACTTACATATTTCCTACTCCCCACTCACTTCTTCTCCATCCCACTCCCTCTCTTATAACAACTTATTCACTTACATATTTCCTACTCCCCACTCACTTCTTCTCCATCCCACTCCCTCTCTTATAACAACTTATTCACTTACATATTTCCTACTCCCCACTCACTTCTTCTCCATCCCACTCCCTCTCTTATAACAACTTATTCACTTACATATTTCCTACTCCCCACTCACTTCTTCTCCATCCCACTCCCTCTCTTATAACAACTTATTCACTTACATATTTCCTACTCCCCACTCACTTCTTCTCCATCCCACTCCCTCTCTTATAACAACTTATTCACTTACATATTTCCTACTCCCCACTCACTTCTTCTCCATCCCACTCCCTCTCTTATAACAACTTATTCACTTACATATTTCCTACTCCCCACTCACTTCTTCTCCATCCCACTCCCTCTCTTATAACAACTTATTCACTTACATATTTCCTACTCCCCACTCACTTCTTCTCCATCCCACTCCCTCTCTTATAACAACTTATTCACTTACATATTTCCTACTCCCCACTCACTTCTTCTCCATCACCTTGCAGGTGTCTGTGGCCTCAAGAACAGGGAGGTCCATCTCCTGAGGTGGTCGTGAAACTTCCGATAGGGATCCTTCTGAGTTCGATCTGTTACAGGATGTGGTGGTGAGATGAAGTTTTGCCTTTTGGAAGCTATTTCAATTTGGAATAATAATACTTTTGGCACTCTTCCTGAGTCTACAGATACCTTTGGAATTGTAATAGAGAGATTAAAACTACTTCTGGAAATATACTTATGAGTTTCAAATTATTTATATCAGTTTAAAATAGCTTTTGGAAATACTATTGAAATTAAGACTGCTTTTATTATCACTTTTGAAATCACACTTACAAGTTTAAATTCACATATAATTCTGGAAATTGACTGGATAATTGTATTTGCTTCTAGATTTACACTTTCAAATGGCTTTTGAAAATGTGTCATTTTTTTTAATGGCCTGATTTTGAAATAACATTTCTAGAACAACTCAAATCAGAATAACAATAACTATAACACCGCCACTGGTCACAAAAAACATCATAAACAAAACTATCTCTTCTTCTCTGACTCACCTGTTATGTCTGACCATACAAAGGTCCCAGCCCTCCAGACTCATGTTGAGGCCATGTATGGTGTTGTATGGTGAACCTCCAGTCTGAAATGTCCAATCCATCATTAAGGTCTCTCTTTTCCACAAGACAAAACAACAAACAAACTAGTCAAGAGCACTACATTGATAAACGTAACTGATTTATTCTTCTCTCTCTTTTTGGAGGAGTTTAATTTTTTCTGTTAATTATGGCAAACAAAAAAAAAAAGAAAAAAAAAAAGAGAGCTTGTAATTTTTAGCAAGTCTTCCAATAACACTAACATGGCAAAGCCTTTCTATTTTAGAGAGAAAATACACACTTTATATGAAAGCAAGCAAGTTGGGAGCAACAGATTAATTCCCTTAATATAACCATATCTCCAATGAGCTGGACATCATTGACAAACAGGTGATCAATGATTAGTTCACAGCAAGCCACAGGCACAAATCAGAACAAAAACAAAAACAGGGTCTACAAAATCGTTCATTTGCACGCTTACAAAAAAAGAGACTTGTGTTATTCTTGTTCCACATAAACCTCTCTACTGTAAATTCCTTCAAGATACTGGATTATATACTCTTTTTAATTTTCTTTCCTTCAGTTTATACCCTTTTGGTAATTTTCTGTAATACTTAAATAGAAAAAAGAAAATAGGAAAACATACAAAATAAAGAAATAAATAATTAATATAATTAAATAAACAAATATACACATATAAATATGTATGTGTATATACATGTATGTATGTGTGTGTGTGTGTGTGTGTGTGTGTGTGTGTGTGTGTGTGTGTGTGTGTGTGTGTGTGTGTGTGTGTGTGTGTGTGTGTGTGTGTGTGTGTGTGTGTGTGTGTGTGTATGTGTGTGTATGTGTGTGTATGTGTGTGTGTATGTGTGTGTGTATGTGTGTGTATATGTGTGTGTGAGTGTGTGTGAGTGTGTGTGTGTATGTGTGTGTGTGTGTGTGTGTGTATGTGTGTGTGTGTGTGTGTGTGTGTGTGTGTGTGTGTGTGTGTGTGTGTGTGTGTGTGTGTGTGTGTGTGTGTGTGTGTGTGTGTGTGTGTGTGTGTGTGTGTGTGTGTGTGTGTGAGAAAAATATAATGTTCACTGTTGTTCTGTTTTGTGAAATGTCTCTACAGAGATGGCTCCACTAGTGCTCTGTCATCGAGGCGTTAATTAGTAGCCCTTATGGCCCAATCTGATTTCCCCTTTCCTTGTATTCTGTCAAAATATTTTTTTTTACTACTGCCATCAATATCAATACTTTACTATCATCACAAATATCATCATTATCATAATATTATTTACATTACCAATAGCAACTTAAGATAACAGAGAATATTTCTAAAAATCAAGGAAGAGGGTAAACAGGTGTGTTGTGTAGTACTAATAACTAACTTCTTAGCAATTAAGCACTTATAGAGTCATCTCTGGGTAAAAAAAAAAAATCATAAATTAAACTTACAGTGGGCATGTATACACATCCCAGCAGCACTGGGTTAATAAAGTTAATCACTCATCAATTGCAGACTTTAAAAAAAATGCATTCTACTAAAACACTCTACATACAGAACGTGACAGCTGACTGATTATTCATATACTTAAAATAAATAATAACAAAAAAAAATAATAACATAAACAAAACAAATAAAACAAAAAAACATTATAAAACAATCCACTTAACCTATTGCCACTGGGAATACATATTGTCCACGGTAATTTTGCTTTGCGGCTCCACAAGTGCTCAGCCACAAAGGAGTCAACTAGTAGGCCCTACAAGACCTCACCTCATTTGCTCTTTCCTTGAGTTATCGGAAAAATTCTTGTTTTCCGTATTGATATTCATGTTGATGCTGTTATCAGTATTGCTGTCATTATAATTATCATAACATCGTTAATAATACTAATATCAATACAAAATAAAAAGAATATTTCCATAAATCAAGGAATGCCATCCCCAGCAGCAATGGGTTAAGAAAAAACAATAATACATTTAATTCAGGATGCACTCAACTGGGGGAAACTCAAACAAAAACACAAATCAGACAAACTACCCAGTACCAAGTCTAACATTTGTGTTGAGGGGGAGGGGGGTAAAATATGAGAAATTCAACTTGTAATGGGAATGTTTTAGGTCAGTAAAGATAATACAAGGGAAAACGAGTCATTATCATATAAAATATTCATTTTACAATAAGAATGCACATAAATATGAACAACTAATGCATATATGATTGATAAATGGAAAATACGTTTTAAAGGAACTGAGCAGTCTAACACTCCAAGCAAATTCAAATCCACCTTTGCCATAATATGGTATGCACAGAAATTTAAAATAATGACATATACTTCCATATAGACATCAGAAGAGTCATGAAAAACAACCATATTATTCTGTGACAAACTTCTATTTTTGATCCTTCCCCATCTTATCCACTTCTTTCTTCTTCTCTTTTTCCATTACTTTTTTCATTTCTCCATTCCATTACCTTTGCCTTCTTCTCCTCCTCCTCCTTTACCCCCTACTGTTTCTTCTCCATCTCCTTCTCTCCCTCCTTCACCTTTCCTCTTTCCTTCTCCTTCTCTATTTCTTTTTCTTTCTCTCCCTCCTTCAACTCTTTTTTTTTGTTATTTTTCCTTTTCCTGCTGCTCCTCTTACTTCTTTTGTTTTTTCTTCTTCTCCTTTTCCCCTTCACGTTCACATTTCCATCTCTCAAGTAACTGTAAATAACTGTTATCACTCTCTTACTGTAGGTTACTGTTACAGTGCTCTATACAGTGATAATGATAGTGGGAGTGATAGTGACAATAGCAATGCTAATGAAAAAGACAATGATCATAATGACAATTATATTTACAATACTGTGAAGAACATTCACTGATAATAATGACAATTCATTCACTCACTGACTAATCTGTTTATCCTTCACCTCCTTCTCCATTTCTACACATTACATCTCTTTCCAAATGATCTCCAAGTCAAATTTCTTTCTCTCAAGTTTTTCAATTCCTCTATTTTGATCTTTTTAACCCTTTGCACTTCCATTGTAATTTTTTTGTGAATTATGTTGTACACAGATAGCTCCATGAGTCCTCTGTCAGAAAGGAGTCAATTGGCATATACAATTGTTATCATCATTAGTAATATCATGATTATTATGTAATTAAACAACAGCAAAAAAATAATAAAAAAGAATCTTCCTGATATTCATGGAAAAGGGTAAACAGGTGAGATAAGTAGACGTAGTAACTGACTCTGGTGACAAAGTACTTGTGGAGTCATCTATAATTAATCTTATAAACCATGATTATGATTATCATTACTGTTACTTCAATTATAATCAATCTCATTGTCATTATCATAGGTGTCATCATTATTAGACAGCAGAAAAGTAATGATAATATCTTATCTTTATCATTATACTATTCACTACCATTATCATTGTTATCATCTTGTTATTACCACTCATGACTGTAACAATAACAATAATATTCGTGATGTTACATGACAAAAATATTCGTTACTCTTTCACTCTGACTCGCTCTTACTGTCTCACACCTCATTTTCATTTACTCTTGCTCTTTCATTCACTCTTCCTTATTTGTATTCTTATTCATATTCATTCTCAACATTCTCCTTCATGCTTTTTCTCAATATTTCTCAGTTTGTACTACTAAAACCAATAGCTAATATAAGGTCAGCATGAGTATATACATCAATATTCGTCTACAGTTAGTGTTTCTCCAATGATGACTTTTATATATACTTTCATATAATAGCATTATATAATCTCAGTGTCTATGACAATGTAAGATACACTGAAATGGTTAGGTTTATTAACAATTAACGAACAAAAAACACCGACAATGATGGAGCAATAATCATTAATAGTAATAATAATAGCACTAGTAATAGTGGTTGTAATAGTAGTAGTAACAGTAACAGTAGTAGTAGTAGTAGTAGTAGTAGTAGTAGTAGTAGTAGTAGTAGTAGTAGTAGTAGTAGTAGTAGTAGTAGTAGTAGTAGTAGTTATAGTAATAGAAATAGTAATAGAAATAATAATAGTAATAGTAATAGTAATAATAATAGTAGTAGTAGTAGTAGCAGTAGTAATAGGTAGTAGTAGGTAGTAGTAGGTAGTAGTTGTAGTAGTAATAATAGACATAGTAATAGTAACAAAAATAGCAATAGTAATAGTAACCATAATAGTAGTAATAATAGAAATAGTAATAGCAACAAAAATAGTACTAGTAATAGTAACCATAACAGTAACAGTAATAAT